AATTTTTTTAATTTTATCTATTATCTTTCATATTTATTTCAATTTCATCTTGTCCATTCTCTTTAACAGAAATGTCCATTATCTTTAATGAAAATGTTTATTATCTTTAATGAAAATGTTCATTATCTTTAATGGAATTTTCTTGTTTTATCTGAAAATATTAAGTCCTTTAACTATATTTTTCTTGATATTTTAATCCTTAAATTTATATTCACCGTGAAAATGGTTTTTAATCTTATCTTGCTAATTATGTTGTTCAAAAAATTGTTTTACAAAGTGGATTATATGCAGTTTGTCTTGTAAAATTTTTAAATGCTTTTAATTTTAATTTTATATTATTTTTTCAAAAACATTTAAATAATTTTTAGGAACATTTAAATAATTTTTCAAGGTAGACTACATATAATTTACCTTTAAAACAAACTAGTTACTCAAGTTTATTACAAATTTTAACAAATTTATCTTTATAAAATATTTTTTGAGGTATCATATTTTATTAAGATTATAATGCTACTTTTTCAAAACTTAAAAAACTACTATTTTCGTTAAATCTAACAAAATTTTGTACTATTAAACCATTTTGAAATATTTTCAAAGTTTATTATAGACTATTAAAAAAACTTTTTAAATTAAAATAAAATAAAATAAATAATTAATAAACTAAAAATTAAATTAACTCAAACTAAAAATAAGAAGTATCTTATACCTTATTTTGTAGTCCAAAATGCAAAGCAGCAAAGGACAAAACACTTTTAATGAAAAAAAAGCCGTCAAATAAAGCAGAAGTTACCGAAGAAAAGCAGGCGGTTTTTACGCAATTTTTTCTTGGTACTTGGTACGAAACCCCAAAATCTAAAAGGTTAAATCCCGATTTGGTCTCTCAACTTTATTTTTGAACAAAACTATCCTAATATTTTAAAAATTACTAAAAATAACCTCAAACTTTAATTTTTAAAACCAATTTAATCCTTCTTTTAGTGTTGACTTGGCCAAATTCTGTAAAAAAAATCAATTTTCTTAATTTTAAATATTAGGTGGAAATGACATGGCAGCAATTTTTTGCTTACATGGCATTTAATCACTTTAAAAATTAAAAATAAATGGGTCCCTGTTAATAAAATTAATAAAGTAAAATAGAAAACTTAAAAGCTACCCTCCTCTTATCTTCTTCCCCAATCCGTCAATCCCTTTCTCTCCCTATTCCCGTTACCTTCAACAGTGGCGCTGATGTTCTTACCCCTTCTCTATCATCGGTGCTGGCGTTTTCTTTCTCATTTGTCCCTCCTCCCCTACTTCGCCTCCCTCCTTATTTCCTTTTGCTTCTTCCTTTTTTCTTTTCCATTTGGGATCTGGGAAACCAGGTCTAAGGCAAAACCCAAACCGGGTTTGGCAACCCAAATAAGGTTTCAACCTGATTTGGGTTGCATCATAATCAAAATAAGGATTCGATTAGCATGGTCTTCAACTAGAATCAAAACCCAGATCTGGGTTTTGTGCAAAAGCCATAAATTTTTTAAATGCATTTGTTTTTATTGATTTCAAAACCTTTATATGTAATAATTGGGGTTACTTTCTTCAATACTGATTTTTGGTTTGTTCTTTGATAAATTTAAATGAGTTTTAATGTGATAACACTAGAAAAACAGGGAAGGTACACTGGAGGAAGGAAGGAGAAAAGAAAGGGACGCAGGGGAAGGGGAGGGAGAGGAGAGAAGATTAATTAATCGTGGGTTCCACTATTTGTTTTAGTTAAGTATAAGAAAATTATGCATTAAAGAAGGTGTTTTTCTACCATGTGTTTTAATAAATATATTTTTTATAATTAATTTTTATAAAAATAATAAAAATTAATTTGAATTAAATTAAATTA